TCCCTCAGTCTCCTTTTAGCATAAACTGAAGCAGCAAACCAGGTTCGATCACAGCAGCAATAGCTGATATGCAAATAAGAACTCACAAACCTTTGCCCTTTCCGCATTATTCATTAAATAAATTACCTGCTAACACAGGAAAAACACTACCAGCTTCTCTTCCTATTTCTGGTACAGGCAATAAAAAAAAAAAACAACTTCAATATTAATATGGAAATCATGGCCACAGTTGTAGAATCAGATGTAATGAACAATCTTGTCCCCAGCTTAAGTTGCTATAAAGCCAGCTTAAATTTACAATGGATGAGTCTTCATGGCAATCTGTTTTTCAGATATTAAAAATCTCATTTTCTCAGTGCCAAGGACAAGTGGAAGTGTGAAGCACTGGAGTATCAACTCTGCATTTGTCTCACTTGACATGAAATCATCCTCATTTTAGTTCAGATTTTTAATACATTCTTGGGATCCACTTCAGTTTTCTTCATTTCTCACTGTATGCAATTAAATGTTTTGAAGTATAGTTCACCCTGATCCACAACACTCTGCAGAAGCAAGGAGGAAGTCACTTGGTAAAGACGAGGCTGATATCACTTATTTGGAAGAAAAATTAATTTTCCCTTTTAATTTTTGAGTGAGTCACATAGTAAAAAATAATGCCACCACTTTGTATTCCACTAATATCCCTCCTTGGTCAGTTCTTAAAAATAGCTTTACAAATAAGCAATTAAAAGCTTCTGAACTCGAGGAAGAGAAAGAAGCCTCATCATTTTGTCAAAAGTAAAACATGAACAGAGGGGCTAAATTCTTGGCTGAAAGCCACACAGGATAGTATCAGTGGTTAAACACGGTATCTTCCTGAGGACATAGGCCCCACTACTACGATAGGACTATCACCATATCAGCTACTGAAATGCAGAACCACCAAGTTTCAGCTTGCTGATAAACCTGGTGCATTGGATGGTGAAGAAAATGTGCAAATCAGCCCCAGGAACAAAGATCTGCCACTGCTGAGTTCACAATAAAGACAGACTCCCAAGCTCATGCATTATTACAAACCAATCCTCTCCTAGAAGTAACAAAATATTTCAAAATTTAAATCTTTCACTTAAGGTACAGCTTAAGGTCTGTAGGAATCATCAGGTCTTCTGGCTGGACTCGATGCGTGTGTGTATGAGCGTGCGCACGTGTCTATGAACGTGGGCTGTTACATGCGTCACCTTCCCTGCACTGAGGCCAGCGCAAAGTGAGACAAACCTGTTACTTAGCTTAACTTATGTCTGGGAGATATCTTTCCTCAAAACCAGCAAGAGACCAAGGATCCATCCATTCTAGTTCATTCCAGCGATTAATCGCCCTCTCCAATACAAACGTGTACCTGAATTCTAGTTTGAATGTGTCTGGCTGCAGATTCCAGACAGTAGCTCCCGTTAAGCCTTTCTTTGCGAGCTTAGAGATGTTCAGACAGGCTGTTGTTTACTCAGTGCTTTTAAAACTCCAGGTGCTGCATTTGTATCAAAACCTAAAGATAAATTCATCTGGGTGCATGCACAAAAGTAGGACTAGTGTCCAAAATACTAAAGCTAATCTAGGACTCTCTAGCCCATTTTCCCAAAATAGGCCTATTAGAGAAAAAAAAAAAAAAAAAGCTCTACCGTATGACTTGAGGATGTGTTACATTTGTGCCCTGGAAAGCAAGGTTAAGAACCTTCGCTACGAACTGCCACCTCCTGAGCACACACTGTGGCTTGGCAACGTGCAGCAGCTAGTTCCATGAGGTCGTTGCACCGCAACACAAAGTGAAAAGTTGTTTCTTAAGTCTCCAGGTTCCAAGTTACTTAAATATCACTACTTCAAGTTAGTACGCTGACGTGTACCTTGAGCATGGTCTTGTGGAGACCCTCAAGAAGGTGGAAAACAAGCTCTCAGCAAGAATCGCTGCTCAACAAGCAACACAGTCGTTGCGTTTGCTGCAGTTTCTGGGTTACCTTGAACCAATGTTTGCAA